CCACCACACACCACCACCACATACCACCACCACCACCACCACCACCACCACCACCACCACCACCACCACCACCACCACCACGGTACATCCCCACAACAGCCCCTTCCTTCATTTCCTACTCTGGACCCGAGGCATACAAATATGCAAAACTCACCAGGTTCAGCCGAACTTCGCTGCAAGTCGCTGCTGCGTGGTGTGGAGAGACCTCTCGTCGATGTCATCCTGGCAGGGTGTTAGGTCTCGGGGCCTTGGGGGATTGGGGAGCCAAAATCGTAATACTACGCTATTGTAGTATAGCATACTGTACTGTACTATACCTCATGATTATATGGTGCCATACTATGACCCCATGCACTCTACTAGGACCTCAAGGGTTCGGAAAATGTACCATGCTTGTGGCTCACATGGCGCCGCAGACAGAGCAATGCCAGTGTCCCGTCTCTATGAAATGCGTTCAGCCATACAATTTGCGCAGCAGTTTGGAAAGTCGGGCATTTTACAGTTGTGGAAGGAAAGCTCTTCATCAGACCCTGGCTCCCGCGGATTTCTTGCAGGATCCCCTGCTTTGGCATTTGAAGTCTTGATTTCATACGAGCTAGATCCCTTCCAGTTCATTGCGCGGACGGTAGGTTTACAGACACGCATCGCAATTCAAAAGTGGTGGCCGTGCTTGGGATGTTGGCTTTGTTTTGGCAAGGATGGCCTGAATCTCTCGGTGAACTTTATCAGTAACGTCAGAGACCCTGCTGCTAATTGCATAAGCCTATCGGCCGCAGAAACTATCTCAATAAGGAGGGAAACATGACAGAAGTCAGAAGGAACACATGCCATGGTGCCAGCTTCGATTTCGAGGTATGACAGGAATTTAAGCCCTGTAAGTGCAACTTGCCCCGGTGACGGGCAGTGCCACGAGCAGGCAGACAGGCACACGATTTGAGCAGGGAATCGGCTCCGTTCAGTTCCGTCTCTTCTGAACCTTCTCATCTCCAACTTCTGCAGATGTTAGGGGCACTGTTGAAATGTGCCATGCTGGCCAATATCCACAAGGCAAGGATGCTGTTGGGTTTTCGCGCGAGAGTTAAACGGAGTCCAACATGACAAATTTGAGGCACTTGCAGACAGGTCCTCACGAGCACCGTCGTAGTCTGTCAGGTAGTCATACCAGGCGTTCCTCAGATAAAGCGTCGCAAGACTTTGCTTATTGTCTAAGTTGACCCACGACCCATGAAGGTTGTCGTTTCCCTGTCACGATATGACAATTACCACTATCACCGCCCCCACAGCCGCCACCACCACCGCCACCACCGCCGCCGCCACCACCGCCACCACCGCTTCCGCCTTCTAGTTCCTTCTGCTTGTTGCGCTACTCTTGTTCCACTGCTAAGCAAGGAGCTGGTTCTGCATCACAAAACGTAGTATGGAGTCAAAAAAAAACAAGCTCTTAGAGTCTTGGATAAATCAAACTCTGCCTTGGACCTGAGATGAAGTTAGGTCTTATAGTGCCAGACTCCCCACAAACCCTCCACTCCCTCATGTTTCCAGCATGATCCTTGCATGTTCCTCACAGACAAACACAGAAGAAGCATCACCATATATACGTGGGGTAACAGTCTTGGGTACTGACCTTCCCCAAGCGATACACACGGTGGCACCAGATTTGTACTGTTTATAAGGGGATGCGTTTATCATTTGGGGGGGAGGATACTTAGACTTCTGTACTCCTCCAACCCAGTCTCTGCTCCTGGCCACCATGTGCTGTGATGCGCTGAACAGGCGCAGTGGGGAGGATCACCCGCAAGCCCTGGCAGCGGAAGAGGGTGAAAGCCTCCAGCAACGGTTCATGGGACAGGTGTCTGTAAGGGGATATGAGAATTCTGGATCTAGTAATGCCAATGATGTGTTAGTGTGCCCTCTTTGCTTGTCGCATAAGAGAACATTGCCTATGGCTACCGTTCTGGGTGTCAACCATGGTGCTGTCTCCATTCTCGGCTAGAAGAAGTGGCTTCATGAGCCTGAACTTCTAAATGCTTCTGCACAGTCATGTACCCAAGAACAAGCATGGCAATCACTATTCCCACTATCATGATTACTATTAATAATTACTTCGAATATTACTACTACTCTTTTAAAATCACTGCTCCAGATAAGAAGGCATCAGCAAGCCGCAGTTTGGGCTTAAGGTTGCAGTTCATATTCTGAATAGGAGTTCGCAACACGACGGTCCGCCTGTCTACACCCAAAATGCAAGGATCCGGAGTGCAGGGTCGCAAAAAAGGTCAATAATCCCTGTAGTGGGGACCCTAACTTGCGATATCATATGACTATACTGACTATGCATCATATACGCTCCAAACTTGGGGGTTGAGGTTACCACCAAAATCCTGCCAGAATTGATTGACAGGCACCTCGCTCTCAGAGTACATCTCTGCAGTGTTGCAAAAACCATGCAGGAACCTTTGCGCACATGCTCTGGTAGGAGGCCAAGCAACTGCTAGGTTTAGGGTTTAGGGTTTAGGGTTTAGGGTTTAGGGTTTAGGGACTAATGCTAGGTTTAGGGTTTAGGTTGTGTACTGCCTCCCTCAGTAACAGTTGGATAATAATTATGATATAAGTTTAGGGGGTGTCAACATGCTAGGTTCAGCCCCCAGGCACTGACCATGCTTTCCCTATGGCACTACCAAAAAGGAGCCCATGATTTTGAGAAATCCTCGCGAAATCCTCCAACGCATGGCCGCAGAAGAACTGCGAAACCCAGTAAAACTGTGTGGTACAAGCGGATTTGTAGGCACATTTTAATTTGGGGGGAAGGTATTGTCTGACGTGGCCACCGCGCAGGCCGATGGAAGCATGACAGTAACACCTACAATAAGACAAGAAAACATGACAACAACCAGCAACTCAGATGGTACAAACACTCGTAAAAAATGACACGCGCACCTGAAGGATATGTAGGACAAGTTTGGGGCACCTGCACTCCACCTTTGAGAAAAAGATTCAGATAGCTATGACTATGACCTCCTCAAACGCCTGCAGTAGGCGCCCTCCGAGGCGCACTAACGTTGCTCGCGGCGACAAGTCCAGCTGCGGCGGAAGCACAACGCCTGAGCACACCCTCAAAACAAGCTGAATACATGCCAACAGAGATGTGGGCGTTCGACATCATGTTCCTTTTGTGACGTCCTTGGACAAAAAGTCGGCGCAAGTTCTCTTCTGGTTTGTTCATTCTTCCGTATCTGTGCATATGTGCACTACTTCATTTTTGCTAGGGGAACTTCCGAAAGGCCAGTGGCTTTTGCACAAGCAGCGTGCAGGTTGTTGGCAAGCATCCGAAAGATGGAACCAAAGATATCTGAAGCTGCTCTCCTGTAGATCTGTCGTGTTCCTTGATTGCCAGGGCTTACTCTCCCCCAAACTAACACGGGACCCCAAAGGGGCACTGTGAACCGTGTGAAGACGACTGTCCTTTCAAGGAAAAGGCCTTAGCGGGGTTCCATGTTAGCTCAGAGGAGAGTAAAGCTTTTGTGGCCATCTGACACCGCATGTTCCGTATTGTGAGCAGATCAGCTGAAGGTTCCCGCTATCCATCTGGGGCAATGTCCAATCGCAGTGCATTGTCATGATTCAGCCCATCTGGGGGAACAGAAGACTGCTTACTCCGGAGGCCTCAATTCCCGAAGCTGAAGTGGTAGGAGATATCTCATGCTGGGGACAGGGCTCAATTCAGTCTTGACTGCGGGCAAACGTGGCATGAGGCCAACAAAAAACTAGCCGCTGGGCCAACTGGAACACACCATTAGGCTGCGCGCCTCTCATCCCCCCAACAATTCGCTGAGCTGCTGTGCTTGTCTGGGGCTGTCGGCGCTGCCTGCCGGAGGGGCCGTGTGGGCTGCGACGCTTTCGAGCGCGGCTGCGGCGCCTCACAGGCTGCGCCTTGGAAAGGGCCAGAGGGCCAAGGTTCAGGGCTTCGCGATGCTGAAGACAGGCTTGAGGTTTAGAGGGCCCAGGTTTGGGGCGGTCCTGTGCTTAGGTGCGATTCAAGAATTGGAGAAAGGAGGCAGCAAGAAGTCAAAGAAGCATCGCTATATTGAAAGGACCAGCTGAGGATCAAGGAGGCTACCGTTTCGCGCATGGAGTTTGGCTCTGTCGCCGCACACTAACACCCCACGGATAAAATAAAAAAAATGTTCTAGGCAAATCATTTGTCTGGACCACCTACCTGTGCTAGCCAAGAGCCTGTTCGAGCATCAACAAACATTAGAGTCAGAATAACGGAGAACCAGATGGAGAACAAAATGAAAACTTAGGGCCTCAATCAGTGTACGGATGTAGGGTACGTTTGCTATATCAGGATTACAAGGGTAGATGTTGGAACCGTATTTTGGTTTTGTTTCTACATTCTGCCCAGAACAATGTAACCTTTGCATTTGTTTCCCCTTCATCTTCTTGTCATGGATTGCTCGAACCCTCCCTATGCGTACTTCTTTCGAGGTAGCCAGAATCCCCATGCAGTCCCTGTAGACCCCCACATTTTTGGGATACCCCGGCTTTCAGCAGTACCTCCATCCTGAACCGAAAGCCAAGCCCGCGGCAAACTTCTGCGGCTGCAGCATTGATCAGCGTGCACCTGGGTTGTACCCGATTCCTATTCCACGCCCCTTCTGGGCCTTTCCGGGCCTATTTCAAACATGTTTCCCAATATGCTGCCAACCTAGAACATTGAGACAAACTCCAGAAGAAGCAAGGCATTGTCTCAAGAATGCGGAGAAGAGATGAAACGCACAGCGACGAATTACATGGGGCGTAGAGGGTTGCAGTTCAAGGTCTAGGGAATGTAGCAGCAAGCGCCTTGAATCCTAGGCCTCAGGTGCTGAATGACAGCAGCAACAATGCTCTGGTATATAGTCCTGCTTAAGTAGATAGAATATAGGGTATATGGGGATCTTATTATATTATACCCAAAGCCATATTCTATCTACTTAAGGGGGAGTAGAATCTTTTCTTGCACTGGTTGGACTACTCTCCCAGCGCAAAACCTCGCAAGCAGTTTTCAAAAAGCAGCATACTCCGGTATAACCTGGCTTGCAGGCGTGCCCCGTAAAATACTCATTGTAATGAATACACAGGGGTTCTACGGAGTATGTAGGAATTATATTGACTTTGGGGACATTACATTACCCAGGTAATGGAGCAGCAAATACAAAACCAAACGGAAATGCCATGGCAACTAGGGTTATGTATAGGTAATGTAGGGTTCAATCACCGCCCCCCAGAGTACTATGCTTTTACGACAATTGCCGTGGCGCCTGAAGCAGGTCCAATCATCTGCCAAAGAAGCATTGCAAGCCGCACAGCCTTGGATTTACATGGTAGCTTCCCTGAATAAGGGGACCCCAACATAGACCCCCAAATAGCATTATTCTTTGTAGAGGTACCTCCATACAGGGACCCCTGATGTATTGAAACTTCCACATGAATTCATCTCCTTTCGAGCTTGAATTAAGATTCAGCAGTTGGGGTTTGGGGGGTTCAGGGCTTGGCATCTAAATTTTCTGAAAAATTGGTAGATCCTGAGCAGAAAGACGCCATTTCCTGGAAAGGGTCGGGCAGGCCATGCGAGAGTTGCTTAGCTTGTGGGAATTATGGGAAGTTACTAAGGGTATGGCGCCTCGTAAACGAAATTTCGAAGCTGAAGGACAAATGGGGACTCGACGGGCTGTCCCAAGTGACTGGCACAGCATGGGGCAGGTTGTCGCCTCAAATCCAAGTAAATGCGGCTTGAATTGTTCAGGTTGATGGTCAGCTTCTCTCCTGCCTGTAAAAGGCGGCGACGAGTTGCTCAAGGACACTTCAAGACCATTAAAAGAGCACGTCAACCAGAATGCAAGGATGCCATGCATGCGAGCGCGACCTTTAAGCCAAAACAAGGACGTTGCGCGAGAGCGCTTTGGCAAAGGTCGTTCTTCAGTTGGCGACGAGCCTGTGCACGGGACTGCAGTGGGCGCACAGTCCAAATCCTGCCACCAAGTCAAACGTGTGAGCCCAATCCAGGGCGCATTGCATGCGACAGCATCATAGCCGGCCCGCACACGGCGCGCGGTCACGCCAGCCATTGCCCAGTCCAAATCCAAATCCAAGAAACCCAGGGTGGTAGCATTCATAAGAAGCATAAGC